CGCTGTAGTTTCTTTCGGCGTTATTTAGGGTGCGACTGGCGTAAGCAATGACGCGTTCGCCTTCGGGCAGTTCTTGGGTGAGTACAGCCCCGAGCCCACAAGCGCTGGCGTCGGTCTGGAGGGTAAACGGTCGGCTGAAGTCGGGACAGGCCAGAACCGGCGCGGTGGTGAGTGCCCGCTTCAGCTCGTCGAACGCCTTCTCTTCCTCCGGTCCCCACGTAAAGCGTGCCCTTTTATGGGTCAGGCGTGTCAATGGTGCGGCGGTGGCGGAAAAGTCTGGCACAAAGCGACGGTACCAGGAGGCGACTCCAAGGAATTGGCGCACTTGACGGACAGTGGTAGGTGCTGTCCAGGCGGCCACTGCACTGACCTTATCTGGGTCAGTTCGAATGCCGTCTTTGTCCACTATATGCCCCAAGTATTTGAGGCGACTGCAACAGAAGTGGCACTTCTGTGGGTTGAGGCGGAGGCGCGCTTGTCGTAGCCGTCTGAAGACTTCGGCCAGGTGTTCCATATGAGCCTCTAATGAAGGACTGACTACGATGATGTCGAGATAGACCAACACATTAGGCTCCAATTCTGGGCCGAGGACGCTGTCCAGCAACCGCTGGAACGTGGCCGGTGCTGAGTGCAACCCAAAGGGCATGACTCTAAATTGATAGAGTCCTCGCCCGGGAATCGTAAAGGCGGTGGCGGGGCGGCTGGCCGAGTCTAGTGGCACCTGCCAATATCCGTCTTTCAAGTCCAATGTAGATAGATACTGGGCCCCACGGAGCTTGTCGAGCGTAGCGAGGATGTGCGGCAGTGGGTAAGCGTCCTTATCAGAAGCTTGGTTCAGTTTGCGGTAATCAACGCAGAACCGGTGGCCCCCATCTTTCTTTTTTACGAGGACCACGGGGGAACTCCAGGCACTGCTGGAGGGCTCGATCACCCTGGCGTCTAGCATCTTGCTAACCTCGCCATCGATGACGGCTTGCATGGCTGGATTACGCGGTCGGTACCGCTGTTTTATCGGGGCCCCGGGTCGTAGTCTGATCCGGTGTTCGGCGCGATCGGTGGGTCCCCGCACGGATTCGAATAACCGAAGCTCGGTGTCCAGAAACTGCCGGAAGCGCTGGTCCTCTTCGGGCGAACGTGGAGAGATCCCGGCTGATAATCGGCCGTGGATAGTTGCCAAATAGATTGGGGCCGTCTCTTTCGGCCGATCGGGTGGCGGAGGCGGCAGTGTGAGGCGTAATCGAGCCCACAGGTCGACCCCGATGAGGACCTCGCTGCTAAGGTTATCCAGGACCTGGAAACGGTGGCGGACAGAGCGAGGGCCGATCCGGAGGGCGAGTCGGACTGAGCCGGAGGTGGATGCCCTGGAGCCGTCGGCCAGGTTGACCGGTTCTTCGGATGGCTGGATCTGGAGGCCGTGTTCGGACAGGCGTTCGGCCATGGTGGCGTTTATGAAGGACACCTCCGATCCGGAATCGAGAAGCGCCCAGGCGGTGAGTCGGCGGATCCGGACTAATAGGTGCGGCCGTGGCGTGTACTCTAACTGGACGCGGGTCGGGCGGTGGCCTCCTCGGTTCCGACCCGCTGGCCGTTTCCCGCCGGAGGATGGCAGTCCCGTGTTAGAACGCCATCCTTCCCGCACTGTGAACAGAACTTTCGTGCTGGGCGGCGGCAATCGAGTCGGGTGTGTCCTCGCTGCTTGCACCGCCAGCAGCAGTTCGAGCGGTCATATGTGGCTGCAGCGAGATTTGCCTCGGTAGATCTGGAGACCTCGCGACGTTGTTCTTGACGGCGCCGGTGGATCTCCTCCCACTCAGCGGCGCGGCTACATAGTTCGGAGACGGTGTGCAGTTCGTCTAACCGAATGTATAGCTGGAGCTCTGGGTCAGCGTTTTCGTACAGCTGTTCGAGCTGGTCCCTGCGGGTGTAACCGCCGGCCCGACGCATCATGGTTTGCACGGCGGTGGCGTATCGAGTAAAAGCCTCCCCTGGCTTTTGTCGCCGGCCTTGTATTTCTCGCCGCAATTGTCGCTTATACCCGGGCGACAGGTATTGGGCGAGGAAATCTTTTCGGAATTCGGTCCAGGTGGACCACTGTTCTCTGGTGTTCCTCCACCACAGGAGGGCGTCGCCTTTTAACAGCTCGGCTAGCCCGATTAAGAGATGGTGGTCTTCCAGACCATAGGCCACACTGAGTTCCTCTAGATGCTCGAGGAACGCGAGGGGGTCTTTACCCTCGAAATGGCAGCCCCACTTGCGTATCTGGTTAAGGGCCTTCGCCGGGTCGGCTTCGGGTGGTTCGGGGGTTCCTCGTGCACTCCGGTAACGGTCCTCGCGGCTGGGTACTTGGAGTGTTACGGACGCTCCGGTGTCGGCGTGGGTAGCCATCACGTGGTTTCTGATGCGGCGGCGGAGGTCGACTAATCTCCCTTCCGGGTCGAGGTCGCGGTCGGCGAGATAACGGGCGGCTTTCTCTTTGTCTAGGTGGTAAATCCACCCAAGCATATGGATTGCGAACCGGAGTCTCAGACGGTCGAGTCAGGTCCCTGTTCGGGCGCCATGTAACGGGGCTCCCTTCCCGACGCCACGGATCGGCTCGTCGGTGCCAGGATTCGGGAAGAGGGGGAGACTCAGGTTCGCAATAACCACGCCAATCGTTCTGGTAAAAACAGAGTTTATTGAAGCCACCCTTCGAGAGTTGACTTATTATCTAGTCTACGCGTACAGAGGGGAATCGCAGGAAGTGCGGACCGCGACCAACTTATACGGACGCGGACACGATTTATAACTAAGGAATACAAGTAATGCAACGGACGAAGCGTGACCAAATCATACGGCCGTGGACACGACTTATAACTAAGGTTTACAAATAATAACGCGACGGACGAAACGCGACCAAATCATACGGACGCGGGCACGACTTATAACCAAGGTTTACAAATAATAACGCGACGGGTGAAACGCGACCAAATCATACGGACGCGGACACTACTTATAACTAAGGTTTACGAATAATAACGCGACGGGTGAAACGCGACCAAATCATACGGACGCGGACACTACTTATAACTAAGGTTTACAAATAATAACGCGACGGGTGAAACGCGACCAAATCATACGGACGCGGACACGACTTATAACTAAGATAGTAGCGCGGCGGACGAAATTTACCCAACGCGGCGTGGATACGAGCGCCCTGAAAAAGGGCGAGCTCCGTAAACCGCCTTTGATTCGGGCGCCCTGAGAAGGGCGAGCTCCGTAAGATGTCGGTGACTCTCGGAGGATCCGGTGACCGAGGAAACTCGGCCTTCCCGACGAGAACGCTCGTCGGCCGGGGTGATGTTCGGAGTGGATCCGGTGACCGAGGACGCTCGGCCTGCCCGACGAGAACGCTCGTCGGCCGGGGTGATGTTCGGAGAGGATCCGGTGACCGAGGAAACTCGGCCTTCCCGACGAGAACGCTCGTCGGCCGGGGTGATGTTCGGAGTGGATCCGGTGACCGAGGACGCTCGGCCTGCCCGACGAGAACGCTCGTCGACCGGGGTGATGTTCGGAGAGGATCCGGGGACCGAGAATGCTCGGCCTGCCCGACGAGAACGCTCGTCGACCGGGGTGCTGTTCGGAGAGGATCCGGTGACCGAGGAAACTCGGCCTTCCCGACGAGAACGCTCGTCGGCCGGGGTGATGTTCGGAGTGGGTCCGGTGACCGAGGACGCTCGGCCTGCCCGACGAGAACGCTCGTCGACCGGGGTGATGTTCGGAGAGGATCCGGTGCCCGAGAACACTCGGCTTACGCGACGAGAACGCTCGTCGCCCGGGATGGCTAGGAGGTGAGGAGTGGTCCTTGAGTACGCTCAAGAGACCAGGACGGGACTCCTCGAAGTCTCGGCTGTACCGCCTTATATACCCGTCGGTCAGCCCCCTCCAACTAGCTTGGAGTGGGGCGGTTCGGTCGGGTGGGGCGAAAAGGCAAATTCCCACGTGTTCGACGTGTGGTGGCCCCGACAGGGGCCGTTTGTATGAGTGCGGGCGGGCGGTCGGCCTCGCGCTTGCGCGGCTTCTAGTGACGACAAAACGGGTCGTCACACAGTTCAAAATAATTGAAATATATAGTATATATGTACATATATAAAATATATAATTATATTATAGTATACATATATATTTTATTTAATCATATATGTTGTTCGAGATTTGAACGTTTAAAAAACCTGCAGGATTAAAAGCATTAAAACATCATTGCATTAAATTTCATGCAGCCGTTTCATCCCCATGCAACATGCATCATGCATAATTTTAAATTAACATTATTTAAAATAGCGCTCGGCCGCACTGGTATACGTATACGTACCCCGCGCCTGCGAAAAGAAAGCGCTTACGTCGACTCATCGATAATTGTAAACACCGCGGTCGCGCGAGAGGAGATACATTTTAGTCCCGTTAACAACAAAAAGATTATTTTTTTAAAAGTAAATAATTACACAAAACGCTCTTTCGACCTCAGCCGAACGATAGAATAAAGAGAATTATTCTCGACTATTCTAGAAACACGGGCCTATAAAAACCTCCTCTCTCGTGATCGCGGCGCTCTTTTCCGATTGCTCGTCGCGTCAAGAGTGTGTTTCTACTGTACGAAAAAGGATCGCTTGTCTTTTTCGTTTTACCACGTTTAATTACCGTTGCTTGCGGAACATTTAATTATTAATTACCGACTCGGCTATTTCTTTTGGATTCTCCTAATCAGTTATCTTTTTGTAAATTCTGTGCGGTTTCAGTACTTGTATTTTTCTTTGTTTTAGTTTCAAATATAGTTATATTAAACGATACGTGTGTGTCGAGTGTAGTGCCTTGCCGTCTTCTCGCTTCCGACATCCTTATCCTGCTTCCTGTCGCGCACATTATTTTTGGTCCTTCGAGCCGGATCCTCCAGAACCTCCTGTGAATCCGGTGCCACGGAAGCGTAGAGTTTTTTAGTGCATCTGAAAAATAAGACAGTGTCAGAGATGGCAGACACGGCAACTATAATTACCAACGCCACCGCGCTATATGGCAAGATCTCGCGCGCATACGATAACCTTCGGAAGCTCGGCGAGGCCAACATCACACTCGGCGCGGTGGAAGCCCGGCTTCTGAATCTCGACAAACTGTGGGAGAAGTTCGATGCGATGAATGATATCTTGGCTGAGCGTGTAGACGAAATAAAACATGACGTCTATGCTAAACAGGACATACCTTCACTCGGCGAAGAGTCTTACCTAGTGAACAAGGGCCTGATGTTGAAGATGCGGCGTACTCTCCAGAAAAAGGAACGCGCCGCTGCTTCTGCTACTTCAGAAACATCAACATCGGCGCCTCGCACCACGCTACCTCGAATCCAGCTGCCGACCTTTACGGGAAGATACGAGGATTGGCCGGCCTTCCGAGACCTCTTCGTCTCCCTCATCGGCCAGGATAAGACGACGAAGCCTGTAGAAAAAATGCACTACTTGAAGAGCTGTGTCAAGGGCGAAGCAGATCTTCTCATCAGAGACCTCAGTTCTACCGAAGCCAATTATGAACGAGCCTGGCAAACTCTAAGCGACTACTACGAAAATAAACGCTTACTAACCCGCTCTTATTTAACAAATTTTTTAAGCCTGCCAAAGATGAAGGGAGAATCCGCTGCTGAGCTTAGGAAGATATTCCACGGCATCAAGACTACGGTCAGCTCGCTGACGAGCATCGACCGGCCAGTAGGGAGTACTGAAGATCTCTTTGTGCACCTCGCCGTTGACCTTCTCGATAGTCGCTCTCGCCGCGAGTGGGAGACCTCCATCAGTGAAACGAACGAGCCTCCGCAATACGCTCTGCTAGAGCGTTTCCTTGAGCGACGTCTTCACACTCTGGAGTCGTTACCCTCGACGAAGATCGACGTCTCGCCCAACAAAGCCAGCGGGAGTCAGTCTAGGTCGACTCGTACCCACCATGCTCGTAAGCAGGACTTAAAGGAGCTCAAGGGAAACACCAGAGGACGCTGTTCAGCCTGCCAGGGTGACCACTTCGTGATGCTGTGCGACACCTATAAGAAAATGACGGCCTCAAAGCGCAAGCAGCACGTCGAAGGCAACGACTTGTGCGGAAACTGTCTCGGCCGACACAAGATCAAGGAGTGCGCCTCCAAGAAGAACTGCTCTGCGTGCAATGACCGGCATCATACCTCACTCCATGATGCCTACCGCTCATCGAAGACCGTCAAAACGTCGCACGTCAGCAAGGGACCGGTTCCGACGCCTGTAGCGGTACTTTTGGCCACGGCGCGCGTTCGCGTATGCGATCGCTATGGGTCCTGGCAGTCAGTTCGCGCCCTCGTCGACCAAGGCTCGGAATCCTCCATTGTATCGGAAAGGCTCACCCAACGCTTGAGGCTAGCACGGAGCTCCGCTTCGGTTTCAGTTTATGGAGTCGGCGGGAAAAAAACAGGCGTCTCAAAGGGTAAAGTGGTACTCACCCTCCAGTCTCTTCGTGGCTGCCCTTCCATCACCGTCAACGCTCTGGTGCTGCCGAAGCTGACCATCTACGCCGGCGGCTACAACGGCGGCGGGCAAAACTGGTCTCATCTTCAGGGTCTGGAACTCGCGGACCCTGACTACCGCTCAGCTGATCCGGTTGACATCCTCCTTGGCGCGGACGTTTACGGCTCAATCCTCTGTCAGGGCCTAAAAAAGGGAAATCGACATGAACCAATAGCTCAACAAACTACGCTCGGCTGGATACTGTCAGGCGTTGTTGGTGAGACGACTACCGGACATCACGTTCACACTCATCAATGTTGAATTGAAGACGACGTCTCTATCCTGGTGCGTCGCTTCTGGGAGCAGGAGGAGCTTCAACGGCCTTCACAACTCTTTTCCAAGGCTGACCAGGAGTGCGAGGATCACTTCCTGCGACATCACACTCGTACAGCCAACGGTCGATATGTGGTGAGACTGCCGACGATTGAACCTCTGCCTGCCCTCTCAGCCACTCGACGCGCCGCCAGTCGGGCCCTGCAACACGTCAGCAAAAAACTAGAACGAGAAAGTACCTTCCGCAGCATGTACGTGGATTTCATGGAGCAATACTTGGACCTCAACCATATGAAGCCGGCTCCCCTGTCGACTACTGGATCTCTACAGCGAACCTGCTACCTTCCTCACCACGGGGTTCTGCGCGAAAGCAGTGCCTCTACTAAGTTGAGAGTGGTCTTCAACGGTTCGAGCTCCTTGGCCAACGGCGACTGCCTCAACCGATTTCTGATGACGGGACCCAACCTGCTTCCCGCCCTAGCTGACATCCTACTACGGTGGAGAAGGCACCGGTACGTCTTTGCTACCGACATTGAAAAAATGTACCGGCAAATCCTGGTGCATGCCGATGATCAGAGCCTGCAAAGAATATTATGGAGGAAGGACTCAGAGACCGAGATCAAGGAATATTGGCTGACTACTGTAACTTACGGCTTAGCCTGCGCTCCATCCGCACGCTGCACCAGCTCGCCGTGGACGAAGGCGATCGTCATCTTGAGGGAGCCGCGGTCCTCCGCTCCGACGTCTACATGGACGACATCCTGTCTGGAGCTTCTACCCTCCAGGAAGCCAAGGAAATCCTCCGGACAGCTTGTTCTGGTCTGCAAGGCGGGAGGCTTCCCTCTGAAAAAATGGTCAGCTAATCACCCTCAGTTACTGTCGACATTACCTACCGAAGACTGCCTCCAGCAAGAGGCAAGATGGTGGTTGCCTGGGGAAAGTCATGCCACCCTGGGATTACGGTGGCAACCTTGCGACGACCTCTTCTCCTTCGCCACCAGCCAACCAACGCTGTCCACGATCACAAAGCGGTCAGTCTTATCGTTGACAGCGAAGCTGTTTGATCCGCTCGGTTGGCTGTCTCCTACGACTGTTCTCGCCAAGACTCTAATCCAGTCTACTTGGTTGCTCGGCATCGACTGGGACACTCCTCTTCCGGACGACCATGAGAAGGCCTGGTTACGCTTCCAAGCGGAGCTCCCCCAACTGGAGAGACTGCACGTTCCTCGATGGCTGGGCGGAGGATCGACTGACTGCCGCCTGGAAGTCCACGGATTCGCTGACGCCTCAGTCCGTGCCTACGCCGCTGTGGTGTACCTAAAAACCGAGAAGAACGGGGAGTATGGAGTTACGCTGATTGCTGCCAAGACGAAAGTTGCTCCGCTGAAACAAATCTCCTTACCTCGGCTCGAATTATCAGCCGCAACTCTTCTGGTCCGCCTCGTTCAGCAAACGCTGCCTCTCATCGGAGCTGAAAAGGCGCCTCTTCACCTCTGGTCAGACTCCACGGTGGTTCTCGGCTGGATCCGTGGACATCCTTCTTCCTAAGTCACATTCGTTGCCAACCGGGTCAGCGAAATTCAGACGACGCTCCCCGACGCCCTTTGGCATCATGTCCCTGGACGCGAAAACCCGGCCGACTGCGCCTCTCGAGGCATCTTCCCTGGAGAGCTTGAGGCGCATCCGCTTTGGTGGCAGGGACCCTCTTGGCTGAAAACGGAGAGCGGCCCTTGGACTGTCTTCGGAGATGATCCCAGCAACGTCGAGCTACCCGAGCGTCGAGCCCGTTCGCACGCTGCCGTCTTGGACAAGCGAGGAGACGAACCGGAGCTGCTACTCCGATACTCTTCCCTGCAGCGACTCCTTCGCATCACCGCCTGGTGTCTCCGGTGGCTACGAAAACGCCGACGGCAGCCCATCCTTCTCAACCGCGACGGCGGGGTAGACGCTGAAGAACTTCATGACGCGCTGATCCACTGGATACGGGTCGTCCAAGCTGCAAATTTCAAGGATGAGTTAAAATCGTTGCGAGGACTGACATCACTGCCCAACCGAAGCCCACTCAATAAGCTCAGCCCGTTTGTGGACGATTCGGGCGTTATTCGCGTCGGAGGGCGTCTACGACATTCTCAAATGTCTTTTGAGGCTACCCATCCAATCATCCTACCGAGTTCGTCGCGAATTACTCACCTCGTCATCGATGAACATCACCGACGATCGTTGCATGGGGGCACCCAGCTGACCCTGTGTTCCATCCGTCAAGAATTCTGGATTCCTCGTGGACGATCCCTCGTCAAAAACCACATTCACCGCTGCGTTAGATGCCTGCGATGGCGGTCGGCTACAGCACAGCCTCTCATGGGTGACTTGCCTGCACCCCGAGTGACACCAGGAAGACCGTTCCTCCATACTGGCGTCGACTACGCCGGACCCGTCTGGCTGCGAAGTTCCAAAGGCCGCGGGCAAAAATCTTCTAAAGCCTTCATTGTCGTCTTCATCTGTTTAGGTTCCAGGGCCGTCCATCTTGATGTCGCCTCGGACTACTCGGCCGACGCTTTCCTGGCATCCTTGCGTCGATTCATCGCTCGGCGAGGTGTATGTCACACGCTATACAGCGACTGTGGGACCACCTTCATAGGCGCCGACACTCAACTCCGAGACTTATTCTCCGCTACAAACCCTGAAGGACGTCGCGTCGCCTCCTTCGCTGCTCAGGAGCAAATCCAGTGGCGGTTCAACCCGCCGGCTGCGCCCAACTTCGGTGGTATCTGGGAAGCGGCAGTCAAGTCAATGAAGCACCATCTTCGCAGAGTGATAGGAGAAGCACACTCACCTACGAGGAGATGGCCACTCTCCTCTCCCAGGTCGAGGCTTGCCTCAACTCTCGACCGCTGCAACCGCTGACCGACGACCCGGAGGACTTCAGTGCGCTGACACCCGGCCATTTCCTCATCGGCTCCGCGCTCTCCGCCGTCCCCGAACCGTCGCTGACCGAGGAATCGTCGTCGCGCCTCTCCCGGTGGCAGCTTCTACAACAGATGAAAGATCATTTCTGGTCCCGATGGTCTCGCGAATATCTACACACGCTGGCTCATCGGCCGAAATGGTTCAAGATAAACCGGGAAGCTCGCGTCGGTCGACTCTGTTTAATATGTCACGAAATGACCGCGCCAACGAGGTGGCCTTTAGCACGCATCACCAAATTGCTCTCCGGAGCCGACGGACACGTTCGCGTCGTCGAGGTCCGCACCGCCACCACTGTCTTGACGCGACCCGTTAGCAAACTCGTTTTTCTTCCCGAAGCTGACGATCTGTCACCTAAAACTACAAGCGATTAGTAAACTCATCAACACTTTAATTGCACCGTTCCAAACTACCTCACTTCAATCATAACTACCTTCCACTCACTACTCCACTCATTTTATCGCTGCAATCTTATTATCACTTAACTATTCGTTTCAGTATGTAATCACGGTTAATATCACAATCGAAATTGTCGCGTATTCCTCAATGCGTTCACCGACATACGTCTATCCTCGGCGCTCGAAAATAAACAGCTGTTCGATTCAGCATTTCTTGAGCGAAATCCGTCAGAGCACGTGCGCTCCACGTGCCCGTCACTCGCGAGAGCGTGAATAGGCTCGCGCCCCCACTTCCACGCTATTATTATTGCAGGTATACTCCTGCAAGGCGGCCGGAATGTTCGAGATTCGAACGTTTAAAAAACCTGCAGGATTAAGAGCATTAAAACATCATTGCGTTAAATTTCATGCAGCCGTTTCATCCCCATGCAACATGCATCATGCATAATTTTAAATTAACATTATTTAAAATAGCGCTCGGCCGCACTGGTATACGTATACGTACCCCGCGCCTGCGAAAAGAAAGCGCTTACGTCGACTCATCGATAATTGTAAACACCGCGGTCGCGCGAGAGGAGATACATTTTAGTCCCGTTAACAACAAAAAGATTATTTTTCTAAAAGTAAATAATTACACAAAACGCTCTTTCGACCTCAGCCGAACGATAGAATAAAGAGAATTATTCTCGACTATTCTAGAAACACGGGCCTATAAAAACCTCCTCTCTCGTGATCGCGGCGCTCTTTTCCGATTGCTCGTCGCGTCAAGAGTGTGTTTCTACTGTACGAAAAAGGATCGCTTGTTTTTTTCGTTTTACCACGTTTAATTACCGTTGCTTGCGGAACATTTAATTATTAATTACCGACTCGGCTATTTCTTTTGGATTCTCCTAATCAGTTATCTTTTTGTAAATTCTGTGCGGTTTCAGTACTTGTATTTTTCTTTGTTTTAGTTTCAAATATAGTTATATTAAACGATACGTGTGTGTCGAGTGTAGTGCCTCGCCGTCTTCTCGCTTCCGACATCCTTATCCTGCCTCCTGTCGCACACATATGTAAATGTTTGTATAATTGTAATAACTTTTAACGATACATTGCACATTTATTTCAATTGCAACAGAATGAATTTATATTCTTGTATGAATATTGAAAATAAAGAATGGGCCCCTCCATCGCCCATTCTCGTGAGAACGCAACCATATATTTTTCTTCGTCTCTCCGATTTTAACACGACATACATATTTTTGTCTGATAATTTTTTTCTTGATGATACTTTTTGAAATGTCATAAAGCCTAGGTCAAATTAGAAACTTATTGCACTCGTTTTAATGCAGCGCTTACAGCAGCTTTTATAAAGCGCCAGAGCAGCCGATATTTTATTTTGGCGCTTAAGGCAACTTTTATACAGCGCTAGAACAGTTGATGTTTTAATGTAGCGTTTACGGCAGCCTTTATACAGCGCTATTATTTAATCTGTTCTAAGAACAATATGTATGCCCCCTGTGCTCCTTTGGGCCATTTTTTCTTGAACACTTCCTAATCATTAGAGTAATACCATTCCGATTTTGTGTCAGCTCTCAACATACACGTGTAGTGACCACGATTCATTTCTTCACCTTCGTGAAATATAGCGCTTATTAGCTTGTACTTTTTTTTATTAATCGTGATATTACTCGTCGGCACGGCGGTTATTCGATTGTTGATAATTTTTTTAGAAGCACCGTTTACAAAAGTATATAAATTGAGCTGTATTACTACGACGGATAAAGTTGATTCGATTACGGTTTTCTTTTTCAACACGGTGCCCTTACATTCGTTACAATTGCCGTTTATCGTTTCCCATTTAGAAAATTCTACATTAATCAAACTTTGTAGAGTGACATCTTTTTTCCTTTTTAATGTCGAATGTATAGGTAATATTAACAAACTACTGCTTTCCAGCTTAGTTACATTGTAATTACATTTGACATTCGAGCAACATGTTACGTGCTTTAATTTGAGTTCTAATACATCATTGATGTCGGAATACGTCGACATTAGAGCCGTAAAAAATTCCGAAACATCTTGTTGTGTTCGTTCTTCGAAGCGTTTTCCGACAGATCTTCTAACCGCTTGAATGTTGCAATATTTACGTTCACCATACGCGCAGATAGCATCAATCAATGCATTCGATGCTTTATTTTTCAGTATTTGTTGCCTAATACGTACGCAATGAAACGCACATTGTAATATTACATTAGCGTAACACGAAACAGCATCGTTATTGCAAAGGCCATATATTTTCCACGTAACTATACTTTCTGGTTCCTTACAATCATAATTCTGCATATCATCAATGATATTAGGGATATCCCATCGACGATCGTACATTTTCACAACCTTGTTCTCGGACGGATTGATTTGTGGCAGTTCAGATTTGAATATAGATCTCAGTCGATTATATTCTACAATGGCTCTCGAGTTTGCTTTAACTGATGGTGGATTGAAATTTATCAAATGTAGGCCTTCCAATTTACTTACTCGTGACAAACCTACATAGGCTTGACCATCACTGAATACAGTCGTTCCTAAATCCATCATTGCATTGTTACATGTAATTCCTTGGATTATAAATAATTCGACATTCTTTAATTTGTCTCTCAAAGTTTTCAAGACCATGTCTGACAATTGCGTATATTTTGGTGTA